CACCCCTTGCTCTGTAGCGGGCTTGAACTTGGGGAGCCCCTCTTCCTGCTCCGGAGGCCTTAACCGGGCGGACTAGGTCCCTGAGGACACAGCAGCAGGCAGTGCCCGGCCCACGCCTCGTCCGCGTGCAGGCTTGTGCAGCGCCTAACATGCACTCAGGCGATTTCTGAGCAAGGTATCGTTTACCCTGCTGACGTCAATGAGAACATACTATCCACTGTCCTTTTTGTAGCCTGAAATGAGCACCAGGGCTCAGGGAACACAGCCACCTTCCATACTTTAAGGATTCCACTCACGACCTGATGAGGTAAAGGCCCGGTCTCCTCTGTCTGACATTCATAGCACCCAGGCTCTTAGAAAACAAGTTGTTTTTATTTTAATTCAGTTTTAGGTTGGAAACATAAAAACAGTACATTTTCCTTGCAGAACACTGCCCCATGTAAATTACCATTTGGTAACAAAGATCATTTATTAAACTGCATTTTAGGTAATTTTCTAACATTGAGGGACAGGGTCCATTTTGATTTTGTTTTCACATTGGAGCTATTATGATTTGCACTCAAAATACCAAAGCTATCAAACTCACCTTTTCTTAGTAATTAAAAAAAAACCACACGGAAAAAAATAACTACAATCAGATTTTTATCAAAAGTAACTTTCACAAACCAAATATCCAGTAAAGACCACCCTCCTCCTTTCAGAAATAAGCAAATAATCTTGCCCTTTCTACAAAGTGCAAATATCTCAATCACTTTTATTTCTTAAATTACAGTCCCCAAAGAGAAGCAAACCTTTTCTTCTGCTTTTCCCTCCAGAGATTTTGGTGGAGGCAGGTTTCTTTCACCATCAGCAGTGGGAAGGCTTGGCCACTTGGATTTCCTTGACTGAGCAAACCTTGAACCGGATAGCTCCCCCCACAGCCAGAGGCGGGTCTGAGTTCACTCTACTTGCTCGAGGAACAGAGAATTCCAGTCGGGGGTCCTATTTTTCCAGGATGTTCTTTTGTACTTCTATTTTTATAGTGCCCCTGTACCCACCCACTTCGCCTCTGAGAAGACAGAGTATTCAATCCAAGTATGTGAATTGTTTTATCTCTAGAAGTGTCCAATCGGCACTCATATTTGATGGACCTTGACTGGAGAGAAATGTTACACCCCTCCTGCAGGCCAGGCTCCTTCCTGATTCTTCTCCCAGGGGCTTTTGTGGGGCTGGGTCTGTGGGCCTACGGCACCGAGCCAAAGCCCTGCAGGTCGGCCCCTTGCAGTCAAGGAGGGGTGTGCCCTGCCCCCATAGGCTCCTCTAGGAAATTACTATGTTGTGTCACTGGGAGAAACTAGACCTGTGTGTGGGCCTATCCTTCTGTACCTAACTGGACCCTGCAAGGAGGGCGGTCTGTGCGGTCTGTCTCTCGAGCCGGTTCCTGCACGGTGCCGCCTGGGGGCACCTCTTCCTCCCCAAAGCCGGGCAGCTGCCAAGGGGAGACTATGGTTGTGGGGACAGAGTCCCAGCCACCCGTGCTTACTTAGGCTGGGGGCTTTGTTGATAGAGCTGCTGGCTCGTGAAGAGAGTCAGATGCTAGTGAGGGGAAAGAGCGCCCAGGGAGGAGCCAGGAACCCCCGAGCCGCCCCAGCTCCTCCCGCACGGGCTCTGCCGTCCGCCGGCTCACCTAAACTCCCGCGAGCTTTGGTGTCCTCAGCTGGAAGCAGTGAGGACTGGATGTGTCCCGCTCATTCCACAGAATCGTCATGAGGCTTAGATTCCTTGTGACATGTTTGGTGAATTAATGTACAAATACGAGCTGTTGCTCCTTGCAGCCGGGCAGGCTGACGCGGGGCGGGAGCTGAAACGCCCGCCCCCCCGCCCCCTGCGCTGCTGCAGTCGGCCCAGAGGGGGGCGCTCTGTGGTCAGTGACCGGCCCCCCCCCCCCCGCCCCCACCGGGCAGGCAGGCCCACACCACTGAACCTGTCAGAGGGGACACATTTAAAGAATCTTTGTCCAGTTTCGAAACAGAGGCAGGTAACTGCTCTTATCTTCCACACACCACTCTGAAGATAAGTTGTTAAAGTTTCCAGAAGCAGCACAGCGATCAAAGACCCCTGCCTATGCAATGACTCCAACTTACTACCTGTTCTCCAGTTTGTCCCTTTGATGTCTAGGCACACAGAGAGCGAGCGGCTCGGGCGGTCTCCGAGGAGGCAGTAGAGGCGGCCCGGTTACAGACGCGGCCAAGGTAAGCCCCCCGCACGGGGATCCCACAACTGCTCCCCGGGGCCAGAGCTGTCTGAGCACCCTCCGTATTGTCTCTAGAGGAGGAGGAATGTGGCAGAGAGCTGGAGGATGAATTTCCTTTAAACCGAAAGGGTGCTTAGGTGTAACTGTTGACAGAGGCTTTTGAACGTAACCCAGAGCCCCGCGTGCTGGCCCACAGCCCCGAGCCACCTGGCGCTGCCTAGCAGAGCATCCCCCCTTCTTGCCGACTCCAGGCGTTCTCCCCTCTTGGGTGCCTCTTCGGGGGCAGAGCTGGGGGGAGAGGGGGGAGAGGCCCGTAGTTGGCAGGAAGGAGGGGGGCCCGCTCCCCCCCCAACGGCACAGGCCCTCCTTCTCAGATGTGGGGGCAGACCAGTGGCACCCGAGGGACTCCGGAAACAGCTTAAGCGCCTGGCAGGTCTTTATTTCTGAGCAAGAGGCAGAGTCGACTTTCTCCTTCCTGGGAGCAAAGTTTGAAGGGAAGGAGTTTGGTTCCTATCAGAACAGCGTCCTTTAGTGCCCTGTCCTCGTCCTCCCCCATGGGCCGCAGACGGCTGTCTTTAAGTGGATAAGGGCGGGGGGCGGCTGGTCAGTGCGGCTCCCCGGGGACTTCACAAGCGAACACACCCCGTCTCTCGTGGTAACGCGCTCTACTTGCCTTACAGGGACCAGCACGTCAGTTGCATGGAAATACTAGAGACACACTTGCCCAACTGGAAATTGCAGAACTAGTGCATTTTTCCCAAAGCGGAGACTAATACCCCTGGATTAAAAAAAGAACATAAAAAATAAAGTACCACACATATTGCACTTTTTGCCGAATGAAATTTTTACCTCCCGTTCATCTCCCCCAAGTCTCTTCAGAGGAGCCTGGTTTACAAGATAATAAAGCGAATGATTACTATACAGTAGTGTAGACACGCTAACGTGAAACAACCGGGAAAGAAAGTCCTTATTTCAAAGTAGCCTCTCATGAAAAGAGCGGTACGAAGCCGTCTTAGTGTTGTTTTAGTGTGTGGGGAAGCCACTCAGAAGTGGCCGGAAGGCGCCGGTCAGGGCACAGAGCCATGGAGGCGATCCCACGGGGCTGGGAGCACACTTGACCGACCGTCACCAGTCTCCTCTCACCAGCTGACATTTCAGTAAAGACGGATCGTTACGGAATTTATTGATTTCTGCTTGAAAGGAGAAAAGCAAATAGCTTACGCCACAGGTCCGGAGGGCGGCTCATGCTCGGCAGCAGGGCCCCTGCACCGGGCCCCTGCGGGGAGCTTCCCCGCGTGCAGCTCTAGGCCCTCCAAGCACCAGCAGCCTCTCCTGCCGCCGTGCGCTGGGCCTGCCTGCAGTCGGCCGCACCGCTCCGAGGGTTCCCGGGCTTGGGGCTCCTGGCTGGGGCGGGAGAAGGGGGGCAGGCCTCGGTGTCAGCCTGTAAGTGCCACTCCTGCTGCCCCAGTTTCAGGCTGGAAGGCATTTTAATTTCATAAACATGACAGCGCCTCTGTACTATATTTTGGAAAAATATCCTTTAGTCTAAACAAATCAAGCCCTATTTCATAACTGGCTTATTTTGCAAAGACTGAAAACAGATTAGAGATCTTAATGAAAGGATCGCTTAAATGATGTTCTCTATTTCATGAAATCATCAATCCTAAGCATGAGGAGGAATAAACAATCCACAGAAGGAACAGAATTCATTCCTACTGGATTTTCATGAGTTGTTACATCACAAAAACGACAGTCCTCCATGGGCACCCTCTCTTGCTAACGCCTGGACGCTTCACCCCAGCAGAGCCCGCACAAGGACTGCTCACATCACCCACGCTGGGAGGGGCTGGGGCACGCTTCTCACCTGCCTGGACACCCACTACAACGAGGAAAGGCAACTTAAAGGTGTTTCTAGATGCAGCATCAGTGTAGTGTCTCTCTTCTTTGTGCTTTGTGATGCTTTGTGCTTAGCGCATTCATCTGCTGATAGGACAAGCCATTCTACAGGACAGAAATGAGTCTTTGTCAATAACACTGGGTTGTAACATTGGGATGTTGCTGTCCAAGCGACAGGTTGTTACTTCTAGGTATACGGTTAACTAGCTGGTGCATCTAGCTTTTACTCTGATGAGAGAATTGGAAGGGTTAAGGTTACGTTTTCACTAGTCATAGAACGTGTCTGGCAGATGATCTGCTAGATGGTTAACACATTTGTGGTTTTAAATATTGCTGTAATACTTGAACGTTTCGTTACAAGTCAGAACTTTTAAGGAAATTAAGAATGCGATTCCCACACGGTGGAAAACAAACTCCGAAGTAACTTTGGATTTAGCATTGACATAAATGGAAAACTGTTGGTTTCTACAGAAAAGAAAGAATTAAAGCATGATCTGGGGGAAAAAAGGCACAGCACTACCACTTCACATGGGAGATCAAAGTTCATGTTTCTTGTCCTTGAAGTTCCTAAGCCCTATATGAAACTGTCCAAATTTACAAAGCTCAATAAACTACCAGCAACATAGAGTGTAGAGTCAAAGGAGTTATTCCATTTTAAAAGAGACGCTAGGTCCTCTGGAGACCAACTGCCCCAGACCAGCAGTCTACACCAAAGACTGAGCAGGGACAGCCCGTCTTCCCTGGGCCCAGAGCTGCTGCCCCCGA